TTTTTTTTGAGAAATGAAACTTTCTTGAGGCTTTTTACATTTCTGGTTTCATTTACAGCTTTGTACCATGTGTTTCCTTTTCCAGATTTTGTTGTTTCGACGCAAATTAGAGAAGCCTAAGAATACTGCTGCAGCGACCCAGAAGAGTTCAAAATCTGTTGGAGTTCGTGGCTGATTTGTTTTTTCCCTGTTACTTCTCTTTCTTTTTTGTTGGTTTATTTCACTAACAAAACTTGCATTGGTTATGTAAATAATGTTCCTTAACGGAATTTTGATGTTGTCCTTGCTTTGTTGGAAACTCCTCCAGATTGTAAGATATTTAGATTTTATTGCCCAGTAGTCAGTTTAACTTTGAATGGCCTCTACGAGTTGACTTTTACTTTTTTCTTCGGCTTTTCAGATGGCGTAGCATTGCATTGTTTTCTTGCTCCTTTTAGTCTCTTAACCTGGTTTTACATGAGGAGGCGACCAGCCGTTCTTGATTTTGTTTTTAGCATAGTTGTTATATTGCGTTTTTTTCTCACTACGAGTTGACGACTGTTTTGTCTAACCTCTTTCATATTCTGGCTGGTCGTAAAAGTTGTTTTTTTGGATAGGAGCATTGAGATTTTAAGACTTACTTTGCACGATTGCGGTAACTTGGTTGTTCTTTGGATGCATTGGATTCTATTTCCTAACATTACTCTTTAAAAACTGGTGCTGATTTATTCATCAGCTAATCGTTTTTTCCTGTAGGTCTCTAGCAGACTAATAATGGTTTGAGATATATTACCTTTTAAAGTTCATTCTACTGAGCAGGAAAGTGCAATTTCTGTTTCTTATTCTGTTTTTCCTTTTTATAGGTCAGTACATGAATAATATCTACATTGTTCCGTTGTTTTTATTTTTTTTAAAGAAATTTCTGTACTGCTGGGTTGCTTTTTGGTGAATTAGGTTGAGTGGTTGCTTCCAAATGAGTGATGTGCTTTCTTTTTGCTTGCTTGAGGGCTGCTGAAGTTGGCGTCTTTTAGCTAGAGCGAGTTTATTGTTAGGTGGTAGCGAAGAAAGGGAAGTGTTATGAGTTTTTTGTGTCGAGAAATGTGCTCCAGGACAATGCGTTATTTTATATATTTGTTTTGGAACCTCTGGGTAGGGATTAATACAAATGGGTTTGCTTGTGATGACCTAAATGTTTCGTTTCTGTCTTGTTATTGTTTCACGTCTGTGTGGCGTGTGGTGTTTGGTTAGAAATAGCCAGGTACTAACTCTTTGGGTTCGCCGCTTCATTTCATGATTTGTTGTGTATTAACTAGTTGCAAGAAGTTTGCGTGGTTTTGGAATGAACAGAGGTACGGAAAAACGGAAGCGGGATATTCTCTCAACGTTCTTCGTCATTTATACCCTCTTTATTACTCATATATCAGAGTACTGTACGAATTGGAAAATACAATAACTCAGATATTGTGTATTTCGTATAAATTATTTATTACTTTAACGGTTTCAATACAGTGCTAACGAGCCTTATAGAGTCGTACTATTTGCACTGGGAAAGTTGCCGGCTTTCATTGCTTCTGACGCCAGTAATATGGAAGAAGTGATATTTCGTCGTGTTGCTAGTTGTAGGTTCTCATTTGTTTTCAGTAGTTGATATTAAGTAGTAGTTCTTTGAAGTTGGGTTGTTGGGAAGTTTCGTCTGCTAGTGGTGTATCTGCGGTGGGAGCTCTTTATCATTGCTGCTGGTAGTGCAGGTGTTTGTCAGGTTGGCTGGTGTGGACCAGAAGAAATATTCGTTTGTTGCTCGTAGATAATTCAATTGGAGAAGTGTTTTGCTACTTCGTTGTATTATTGAAAATAAAACATTAGCTGGAAAATTCCTCTGCCGTTCCCGACAGGTAAATCAAGTTTAATATTTGAATTTTTCGACTGGTCACTGGCAAGTACTTTGCGTACTAAAGTTCAACCAGACACAAAAAACTTCCTCTCTTTTGTGGCCTGTTTCAAATTCACAGGGGTGTAAGTTGTTACAGAGCTGTAAATGCTACGATACTTTATACCTTCTGTCTTCACTTTTAAGGTACTGGTTTCTGCCAAATGAGTTGTCATTCAGTGCTGCAAGGAATGGTCAAAGTGTTTAATTGAACACTGTTTTATGTGCGCCGAAAGAAGTCGTAGTCGTGCGAATAAAGTAGGAAGCAATTTTATTGGACTGGGCTGCATTGGATTTGTTAAATCAGTTTCTACAGCAGTGAAAGAGTCAAAATAACCCGAATTTGATGAACCATGATAGAAGCAGCAACCCCTAAAGAAGCTAGTGTCTACAGCATTTTTTATTTTGTAACAGTCACCCAACTAACTGAGGAGTAGTAAAGCTGCATCCATTCTGCACTGGTTTTTTCCGCTCGATTTTTGCACGAAGTAAACGAGACATGCGTTTAGTTAAAGCACATTTGTATATCAAATAACTTTCAAAGGACAGCCAGATACACAGTAATTAAGGAGTCAATAACAAAACCTGAATAAGATTTACAGCAAGTGAAGTATGATTCACTTAGAAATTTTCCGATAGAAAGCTTCCACCTTTCAGAACAGTATTACGGTTGACAATTACAAATTGAACATCTCCGGCAGGACTTAGTCGTGCATTCCCTTAAAAACAACGAAAAACTAATCTTTTTGTCAAACGTTGACCCTGAGTTTTTTTCATATACCCAATTACCGAAAAAGTTCCACTGAAAACTTTTGCGTCAGCGTGCACTAGTAATGACTTATGATAGTAGCGGATTTTACTATTCATGTAAGCATGAACATGATTTATGTGACTAAAGCTTTTCATGCTACTTTCACTTTGCTTGTCTAAATGCTTTTTTATTTCTTCTTCCGAGAAGAGCAAAAACTGGAAAAAAAAGTAAAAAAAAAAACGATTTATTTCATAAAAATATGTCTTAAATTAAAAGTTTTGAAATAACGTTAAAGAATAGCAGCAAAATTAATGGGGTTTCTGTGGTTACAGAGTAAGCATCAGATGCCTTTATCGGTTCTCTCCTAGCGCTTGATTTGACATTTGCAATCGGTGATTTGGCACCGCTGCGTATGGCATTATAAAAAGATGCTTCGCTCGGTTGTTGAACCAAAATTTCCATTACCATATTTTTGTCGGCAGTCTTAGCGACACAATACTGTTTCGGTTCGTGGAAATTGCCAGCATAAAATTGATGAACTTTACTACCGATAGCCTAAAGAAACACTTCATTGGGTGGAGTGAGAATGAGGAGTAGTTTTGCAAAAATCGCTAAAACGGGAGTAAGGCAAAAGGCTCCTTGTGTTGTTTTTTGCTTCCTTAAAAATTTGTAAATGCACTTTTACAGTGTATAGAGCAGAGGAAGCGTCAAAAAAAAAACTAGTGAACAACATTATTACCTTTCCAACAATGTAAAATTTACCATTGACAGATATACGATTGTAATTGGACTGCCTATTTTGTGTCGCTTTTGGTGTTGACGCATCGAAAAGACCAGGTTCATTGAATTCCCTTGCGTAATGAAGTTTTCCATTTCTATGAACGTATAGGAACTGTAAAATAAACTACGTGGTGGAAAAGTACGCGTTTCAGTTACATCAATTAATGGTAACTTAATCTGTTCGTTACTTCATGCGATGTGGATCTGTAACAAATTTTTTCTTTTTCAACAGTACGGTTAACTGCTACAAAAATAAATTACACTTGGCGATGATTCGTTTATATAAATCTGCTTCTAGTCTCCACCTTTAGTTAAGGTATGCAGTATTTGTACCAGAATATAGTAATTTGACTGGTTTTGCTTTTCAAAAGTGTTTTTTCTGATTTTCTAATTGATACATCCAGCTAACAACCTTTTAAATGATTACGGTATTACAGTTCCCCTTCTGCGTTTCAGTTGCTCTTCAATCTGTTTTCACTTTTTATCCTTTCTTCCTTTCTCCCTCATTGCCTCAGACAGGGTTTTTTTGTTTTATTGCTCCAAACAGAAGACCACTATCAGCAAAGATAGTAATTGATTTTCTGCAGTGAATTACGTTAAATTGGACTTACACTTTGGTCAACGTCATAAGCTATAGGACCATTGAAAGTATCTTCAAACTCGTTTTCGACAATAAGTTTCTATTCACTCAGACTGAATGCTGCATCAAAATAGTCTTCTTTTGCTAAGCATAATACAAGTTTTAGCCATAATAGAACACTTCAATATGGTTTATTTTTTTCAGAAGAAAAAATTTAAAATAGTGGTGGAAAAAAGTGAAGGACCAGAATTTTACATTTGTTGTGTAGCACATGAATGTGTTCTTTTCCTGGTTTTACATAGATCCCAAGAATTTCGGTAGTATCATTTCCTTTCTCTAGCGTCATGACTTTTGCTGCCGAAGTTTCAAAATAACAGTAATAGTAATCAGAAGACGATAATTCCCATTCACAATTAAAAAAATATATTTTTGAGGTAGTGGCAAGCATTATGTCGTATTCTAAACAAATTACAGCAATGTATTTATTGAGCGAATTTCAGTTAACAGACAGTTTAATTTACCGCTACTAAATTTTCAATGCAGAAAGATGGTGCACAATGGCTTCAAACGATAGACATACTTTTTGTTTCATTGTTCAAATAAAACATCAGCTTTAGAGGATCATCACACTCCCTCTTCGTACTGGCGGGCGATAGTGGTAAGGAGTGCTCAGCAATCAGATCAGTTGTTAAATTTCCCAGATGATCACCAGTAAATAAAGATATTTCGCAAGCCGCAGTTCAAACTATGATAAGGAAATTTGGGTGTTGTATCAATTTCGCCAAATTGGTGAGGGTGCATTTATTGTTGGCACCTGTAAATGACAAAAACACTAAAAATTGCCATTATTTTAATTATATATATTTATTTTTTGAGGAATAAATTTGTCTCTCAACTGTGTGGGGAGGAGCGAATGGAACTAAGTGTTTGGTTAGACAGTATCTCTTCTGCTGTGGAACAGTTGATGGACGAATTACGGGCCTAATATATAGTTTTGACAGAAGGATTAAACCTGTTCTACTCAAAGCTGTAGAAGCGGTAACAAGTGCCGAAATGATCCCAAAGTAAAAAAGCAGGCGAGGGTCTATAATCGTTCTTGCACTGTGAACACGACTTCAAATTTGTAAGGAAAGCCGAGTTCCCGCTACGGATGCGTTTCTCGATCTCTTTTTCTAAGAAGCAATCAACACTTTGAGAACAACGCGTCTGCATCCAACCGTCGTTTTTGTGGAACTTCTTAATGATTCTGTAATCTTCTAATGTGCAACACTTTTTTCTGGATTTCAGATGCATAGCGCGAGGGGCCTCAGTTAAGACGTCAAACAGGCGGAACAGATAAGAGCGGTATAGTTCACTTAAAGAGTTTAATTTTACTGTGGACTACTTGCCGTTTTTCATCCTGCGCTGGGCTGTTCACCCTACCTTTCGTGGTGTACAGTAATTCCAAATTCTAGTTTATTTCTTCCTTTACTTTCTCATCCGTACCCTTACCTGCTGATTTCCACACTGACTTTGCGTCTCAACGTATTTTAACTCTTATCTAACTTTCGCATACGGGCTGTTCTAGAAAGCTGAAATTTTTTTGGCCTTTTTTGCATTAGGCACTTGTAGCACTTTAAGGGTAAGCAACGTTAAAAATTTGGTCAAGGGTTTATACTTATCTAACGTTTTTCTGTGTTCCTCTGTCGGCATTTCTGCTAGAAAAAAACGGAAAAATTTGCGGTTTTTTTCACATTACTGAACATTACAACAACTCGTTTACCTTCTCATATGAAAAATCGTCATGAACAGTCTATACTTTACATATTAATGCTCTTGGGAATGAGGCAATAGCGTATAGTTAGGGATGGAACAAGTGAACAACTGTTTGTGTTTATGTTTCTCCTCGTTCATATAAATGATCTCGTAAAAGTTCCTCTCCATGAAATTTGTTCTAAAAAAACGAAATTCTTTTATTTAAGTAATTCATTTAACATTTTATCCAAACATTGCGTTTTTTAAAAAGTATACAAGACAGAAATCTTAAAAAAACTTTAAAACCTGGAAAAAGTTACCCATCTTTTAAAAATAGCGATTAATTGCAGAGCAAGTCACTTTTTTTTTTTTTTTTTTTGAGAAATTTGAGGCTGTTTTGGCACTCAGAGACTCAAACATGCTTCAAAGCAGTCTGTTCAGACTAGCAACGCTACAGCATTTGTGAAACTAAGACTTCAGTTATTATTTGAAGTAAGTAGCTGACGGCAGTTATCCAGAGAGCATAAAAAATGTTATGATTTCATTTAAGGCTTCAGTGTAGTGGTGAACATAGACTTATAACAAAAAGTTAAACACCTTTCTCAATGAGACCAAAAATTTGGACTTTCAGATTATCACTTGAAAAGCAATAATAAGAAAAATTCTCAGATTTTTTCAGATTTTTTGATCACTTGATCTAAATGTATTAAAAACGCCATCTTTTACTGTATAGTTTCCTTCTTTTTGTTTTCAAAGCTTTTTCTCTCTTTTCATTCTGGAAAGCCAAAGTGATGTGCACCAAAAAAACTATGTTCAAAGTATAGTTTTACTAGTTTAGCTGCTAAAAAGTGGTTTTTTTAAATGTTGAATTATGAAATAAGAACAGGCCGAAACGTTAAAACTAAAAAATTAAAAATTGAAAGTTTATTCTCAATTTAAATTTTGCTAAAAAATTTCTGATAGAACGTTTGAAATATTCTGTCAGGTACACCAGGCTTGCATAATTTTGTTTACTTGGGTACGTAATAACAACCGGAACGTTGGAACACAGAAGCAAGGTGGTTTTGCTACAGAACATTTATTTTTTTTTCTGACCTTTCTCCTATTAGTCTCTTTTTTTCGTGTACCAAATAAGTTACAACCCTATGAGGTTCGGCTAAGAAGCTTTGTGCGGTGCAGTCAACTAAAGAAGTATTAAAATATGACAGTTGCAATATTTTTGAGAATTTTCTTACCTGTATATTTGTTTTTTATATTTCCTTATTATATTTTTCAGCTTTTTAGGGCCTGAAAGTCAGTGACTTGAGATTTAACGTAGGTGAACCTCTGATTCTCTCTGAACAAGTATCAGCAGCTTTTTAAATTTTTTTGCAGCGTTTCAAAACTTTACAACTTGTTGCTTTTTTGCAGCTCTGATAATTTTATGGGTTAGGAACGGTGACCGAGAGGTGTTACGGTTATAAGAAGCTGTTGTATCGGCTAAGAAAACACCTTAATGGAAAGTTTTGCACTATTTTACAATCTTATAATGAGGAATGAAATTACTGTATCGTTAGCGTCTTCAAGAAGTAATGTTTACAGATTTGCAGATTTGCTTATTGTTTAGAACTTTATTTCTTTTCTCACCATTTTCATTATTTTCCCATTGTATGATCCTATCACAAAAGAATTCATTAAAAACTTGACAACTTTGGACACCGCATTCGTTTTTTTACGGTGGGAGGGCGTAGTTGCCAATTACATCAGAATGTTTAAAGGTCAAGTCGAATTTATTTTCTACTGACTACGGCCGTCACTTTTGCCAGTAATACTGTAGTGCATAAATGTCTTCAGAACAGCTGACTGTGACGATTCATCGGTACATTGGTGAGTGATAAAAACAGTTTTTTAGAAATATTTATTCATGTTAAGATAAAACAATTTATTTTGACAAAACAATAATTATGT